TGTTGGCTGTCTGCCACTGCAGAGCTCCTACCAGCCCAAGCCACCAATTTTTAAAGGAGTTATGACAGAATCTTAGAATCACAAAATGGTTTGGAAGTGACCTTTAAGATCATCTCATTCCAGCCCCTGCCATGGGCAGGGATGCCATCCAGTAGATTCAGGTTGCTCAGGGCCACATCCAGCCTAGCCTTGAACTTCCAGGAATGGGGCATGAGCAGGTGATGAGCTGGTTTACTTTGAAACTATGTCTGCATATTTTCAGCCGACCAATATTTACATGAAACAAAGTCAGTTCACAACACACAGTTCATGTTGGTCAGCTGGAAGCGGTTCTTAACCAAAAAAATCTAGCTTGCAGATCATCTCAGAATTTCTCTGAGACAAACACCTGGATGAAGTTTGCCACGTGGAGCTACTTCTGCATGTTGACATGCAGAAAAATATTATGAGAAAACTGGATAACCTCTAACGGTGGCTCCAAATAATCGTAGGAGCACATGCACCTGTAAGCCCTGGCTGCTGGACTTACCAAGGGCTTCTGGGAAACAGAACCAAGCCTGAGCCTCTGCATTGGAGGAAGTTAAGTCCTCTGCTAGTTCCTGAAATTATAGATAATTGTGTATAATACACTAGTTCCCAATTCAAGAAAATCAATTTTAAATACATAATTTATCGCTAATTTACAGATGGCAAAAGATCATCTTTACTCCACATAACTTGAATATTTAACTGCAAAACTGGAAAAGGTGGAACCCTCACAGAAGAGCACATAATTGATAGACAGAGATGATAGAGAGGATCAGTGAAAAGAAAGTTCTTTTATGCCACTGCCCAAAGGAAACTTCTGGTAGCACACAAAGCTGTCTTGTTATGAAAATGTTCTAGGGTGCCAGAAGCAATTCAACAAATTAAACACAGATAAATAAGAAAAAGATGACGTGGTCTCTTTCCAGATGATTTATCACTTTTAAGTAGCAGAAAACACAGACTTTGTCTCAGAAGAGCTGAAGTGTCCATGACAGTGGTTAGAGAACACCCTGACAGGATTCATGATACATAAATTGAGCACTCCAGGATAGAGTTCATGCCGTAACATCACTAAACCCAGGAATCCTGGCCCTTAGACTATGTCTGGACAGGCAGGCCAGGGCTTGTTGGCTGGCTCCAACTGCCAGTGGCATGAAATTACTCTGGTTGGTGTGGTTCACTTCTCTCCCTGCAGAACCAAAGGAGCTCATGCACTGGGCACTGCCCTGTCCCACTGAGCCCTTCATCTGTCAGCCACTCCTAGATTTTTCCTACCACCAGCATCAAAATTTCCTTATTGCAATTTAAGCCTATTAATTCTAATGTCACCCCTATTTGAAAATGACAAATTGTTTTCCCAATTTGCAGCAGCATTTCAGATTTCTGGGTATTTATCATGCACACTCGTTTTCTCTTTGGAGTAAACTCTTCCACTGCCTCTCTTATTCAGTGTCTCCTCATACTTTGAGTCAACTTCAGTTTTTCTTATCCTCCCTCTCTCCACCCTACCCAGCATCACTGGCAAAAACCTAAACTGAAAAGCTGTTAGTGCAGCTGTTCTTTAGGTCCTTCCCCAGCTGGGAAACCACATGTGAGATTAAAATACCTAAAGATTCATTGTTCCTTGTTGATAATGTTTTCTGGACTTCTGACCATAGTTCCTGTCCTCATTTGCTTGAAGACACAGCCCTACATTTATTTTAAAACATCAGAAATTATACTTGTCATGGAAAAAAGCACCATCTCTGCAGGCTTAGGATGAATATTTGGATCTACTGGTATGTCTGTATTTTACATTTGTGTCAATGTGCTATGTGCCACACATTGATAATAATTCACTCTATACACTGCTGCTTGGCCAGCACATTCAGCCCACAGTGTACTGCAAATAACACACCAAATGATGCAACCATGTACAGAATACTCTGGTTTGTTCATGGATAGTCAATGAAGCTGCTGTTAAAAAGAAGTATCATGGGCTTTACATCCTATACAGCCTGTGTAGAGCAACAAACCAGAATCACATACACAGCCATGGGCTAAAGACAAGAACAAAAGAACTGGAACTTGCACTAAAATAGCACATGCAAGCTTTAACTTCAAGGAAAACACTGTTCTCAAACATCCAACACTGGCTTTTTTAAAGAGTTGCAGGTATATTCACAGCATCTACCCAAGGCATTCATTAATGACTGCAGCCACAGTCTGCAAGCTCAAAATGCTATTATTTCAGCACAGGCTACTGGCTGGGTTTTGTCTGGCTCCACAGTCAGCACCAGTTTCCAGCACACTCAGAAGTCAACAGGCACTGCCATGGTAGTCATGATCTGTTCCCAGTTGAAACAATGCATCAGGAATGCAAAAACCAAAGCTGAAACACAGAAATGTGCATGGCTGAAAAACACTGTCAAGACATCCTTACCAACAGCCATACTGAGGAGTACTGTAAGAAAAGAGCATTTTCTGAAGGAAAAGCTTGACCAATTATCCAAGACCATAGAAAATGTTCAAGAAATTCGGAAATGAACACTTTTCTAAATGAAGTCTTCTACGAAACATGTTAATAAACCTTTTGGAAAATAGGCTGTGCTGCAGATTTTCTGTTGTCTGGCATCTGTCCGGGTTTAGAGAAACATTTTCGCAAGTGTAATTCTTACATCTGTGGATGTGCTTTTATTAGTGTCACTGGTAAAAACAAAATATATTTTCAAATCTATTCTTTTGTGTTTCTTTTTTATATTTCATTTAAAATGCTCTTCATTTGTAACAAGAAAAATAAAATCCACAAAATTTAAAGAGGGTTTCAGATACTCTTCTCTTGTCACCCTCAGTAAAGTTTCATATTCCATTCTACGTTCAGCTGCATTTGCAATCCTTCAGGAGGGAACAGACCAAAACAAACACTTGAGGAAGGAATCTGATCCTCATTATTGTGATCCAAAGAGTCAGGTTTTCTCAAACAGCCTTTTGTTTTAGTGGTGTTAGTTGTTGTTGGGATTTTTGTATTTGTTTGGGGCTTTTTTACTACAAGAAATGCTTCCCCTGAACACATACAAATTCTCAGGAACAGAACTCTTACTGAACTTCTAGACAGATAAGGCTTAGTATGTGAAAGACATAAACAAGAAGCCTATCAACATTATTTTTAACATTATTTTCATTACTTTAAATATTAAAACTCAAATTTGGTGTGGAATGTGTATCTGAAATCATCAAATAAAATCAGAGTCAGTCACATTGAACTGATATGCATATTTTCCTATACAACATTAAGTTTTAAATTAAGCTGATCAGGGAGGTTTTTTAAAGATAAAAAAATACAGCCTTGGTTTTTGATGGAAGAGATTGAGCTGATCAGTCCAAACAGTCACAGCCACACTGGAGCACCAGGGTCACCTGATTTGTACAGTACTGAGATAGTAAAAATCTGTTAATTGTTGCCACTTCACATGCTTTAACTGGAGGTACTGCACTGAAAAGCTGATTTTTTTTTTTTTTTTTCCTGCAATCTTTGTTGTTTGAGGAAGAAAAATGTTACACTTAAAAACAGATGGAAATTCCCCAAAACCTGAGGTGAAGCAGACCTGTCCAGAATGCAACTGTGAAATGCTTAGTTCAGTGTGACCAGTTCTTCTGTTTTAATTGAGCTATGAACAGTCTGAGAAATAAACTCTTTCCTAACCACACAGGAGAACAAATGCAAAAGTACACTTTCAAGTAGATTATAATACCTAATGCTTTGTCATCAGAAAGCTACTGGCTTTTAAATATGTAGAAAGCCACTCCAAACAGTATTCTGACTAAGAGATGATCAAGGCAAAAACAAGCAGAACGTTGAGTCAGCCTCCAACTTACCTTGCTATTTGTCAAGTTCATTATTTAAACACAAGATTGCTTTCTTAATAACCATACTTACACAGTGACTTAAATTAAGGCATAATCCAGCTGACTGAAGTTTTCAGTAAAATGTTTCTGTTGCTTTTATTAGTAATAACTGGTTCAGGTTACTGCTGGCCAAAGTAATGGTCCATTAATGAGGAGACTGAAAACCAGATTGCTTTAGTGCTATCTTCCATTAGGGCAATTTGTAAATTAAATGTAGTGCTGGCCATTGGACTCAGGGAGCCTTCAAAAGAACTTAATAAATCATCCTACCAGATAAGGTTCAAGGCTTTAAGCAGGAGCTGGCAAAACTCTGAAGCCAGAGTGTGGTTTTAGAGAAAGTTGCTCACATTCTAGAGAAAGAATGCTACCACTGCCCACAGAAGCTTTCATCCAAAAAGCACAGGGCAAACTTGTGGAAGACCCAACCAAAAAGACAATGGTTGATATTTAACAGACAGACTTGAAAAGAGAGCCCTTCAATTCAACATGCCAACTGGAGACTCTCAATTTAACAGCAATGCCTCTGATTGCATGACTGTGACAATACTTCTGTAAATGACATTTTGGGCTCTCAAATACTCAAGAGTATTTCCTCCATGGAATCTGGAGTAATATCCAAGGATACTATAATACTTCAATTTTCTGTTTCAGTTTTCATGTGAAGTGTTTGAGGCTTTCTGGAACTGTAACTTAAGTGCAGAACAGACTCCTCTGATAAAGCCAAATATACTTGGATGGAACAAGTAATACACAAATTCCATTGTCTATGTACATAAGCTGATGCATAAAAGACTCAATCATGTTATACGGGAAAACACACAACTTCAGGAATATGAAGTAAGACCAGCTGGACCCTAAAATTTTTAAATTCACAAATTCCTTCACAATGTAGCAAGAGACACAAAATAATAGGTGAGCTCCCAGGCTCATTCCAGAACCTGACAGACTATGCTTTGGCCACTCTTGGGACAAAGACAAAACATGACTTAGGCAGTTGGTAAGTTACTGAGCAGCAAGTAGCTTTTAAGTCACAGCTGTCTCTAGCACCATATGTGCTCCGCTGGGAATGAAAAAAACAGACTATTTTCTTCAGAATTAGAAATCACAATTATATTCCTTGAATGAACAACAAAAGAAGCTTAAAGCCCCAAACATAAGAACATTTACGCTTTAACATTTTCCCAATGAAAATACTGCCTGTTAAGCTTAGTATAGTACTACCTATTTTTTTAATCTATTTGGCTTATATTTTATTTCTAAACATTCCTAATATGCATTTGCTTTCAGGCAGCATTCTGTGACCAACCCTGTTTATTATCAGAGCCCTCAGAGTTCACATGAATGCCTAGAAGGCTTCCTGGAGCTCTACTCACCCTGCCTTTTAAACTAAACTAGTAGCACAGGTACCTAGAAGTAAAAACAAAGACAAAAAAGTCAAGAGATGCATTTAATGCACCATGGTATCATAAAGCCTTTTGGAGTAATGGTAATTTAACCATTCTCTGCATTTCCTGAATGTCAGTTTATAATAATGCATTCCCTTATATCAATGGCTTTGACAAGTCAGGAGAAGTAAAGTAAATGGTGACAATATGGAAAGTGCCAAAAAAAAAAAGAGACCATATTTCTCTCAAGTAAGCATTGTAGCAGACTCATTCAATATTTTCCTTCATGTTAACCTACACCATGGTAAAGCAGTGAAACAGCCAAACAAGCACAGAGTACTGAGTAAATACTCTTGATGCTACCCTGCTATAATGCAAATGGAACAAATGGTCAAAGGCATTCACTAACAAGTGATCATTGAAACCCACACATCAGAACTCCTGGAGAGCACCATATTTCAGAAAGATGTTTTAAGTATATAGCTGTACCAAAGCTGGAGACAGAACATTCCTTGTTGGATTTGATGATCGGACTCCTAGGGAGGTTCCTCAATGAAAGCAAACCCTACTAAACCAGTCCTAAATACATACTGGTTTTATATAGATATGTTTGTGAGGGAAAAGAAGGAGTTCTTATCACATCACTTATTCCAAATGGTGTTGTTCTGCATTTAGGCATTTGCTTTCAAGGTCATCCTTATTTTGAGCAGCTGGTTCCTCACTGTGGGCAATAGAGATTTCTGACTGGTTTGTCTTTGTGCTGGTATCAGCCAGCTCCTCTTCAGCCGAGGCACAGCCATGCAGCTCCTTCACGTGGAGGGTGGGATTGGTCATTTGTTGTGTGTCTTGTTGAGAGGCTGGTACACTGCTGTCTTTGGGAAGCTGAGGGCAGTTGACAGGAGCTATCACCACGGGAGGCTGAGGTAGGTCTTTCTGTAAATGGAAGATCACAGTGAAAATGATGGAAAACAAGAATTACTGTGTCCAGTTATGTGAGGTAACGGTCATACGAGATGCAGATCAAAGTTTCATCAACTCTGTTATCATTCTCCAGCAGGTACATAGTTATCCTCTATTTGTGTTTTATAGGACACCAGGGGAATTTTTCCCTCCAGCAAAGTGTTTGCTTTCCTTGAGTTATTGTTCCTCACCAGTTTTAGATGTGCTCTGCTGATAAGGCAGCAACAGGTACTTGGTCCTTGGCTGTCCAGATCTGCCCACCTTTACTATTAGTGTACAAGGACTGGCAACTTTTACATAACATTTCAGATGATCTCAAATATTTCTCTAACAATCAATTTCTCTAGTGGAAGCTTGTGAAGATTATCACAAATAGTTGAATAATAAAATAAAACTCACTGGGGGAACCTCTAGCTTGACAGATTTGACCTTCCAATAAGTATTCAAAAACTAAAATCATGCATCATGATAGAAAGGATTCCTTTTTGAATCAATTTCACTTGCAGCACAGTGAAACAAAGTGATAATTTACTCCACTGAACTACATTTCCACCTTCATAAACAGTAAGCTATGAAAAAATATGAAGAAAATATTTTAAGGGTATATTTTATATAATACTACACCTGACATTTTATATAATATTGTACTATTTTATGTAATATTTTATATAATATTGTAATATTGTACTGATACTTCCAAGAGAGATGAAAGAAGTAACATTTTGGCAGAATCAAGTATAGACAAGGTATACTTTACTTTTCACTACTCTGATTTAAGTGGCCATAAACATTGCAGAAACCAGAAAACCTTACTGAGGCAAAAAAAGTATGTAAAAAAGCAAACAATCAAGCAAAACCAAAATCTTTGTGTTTGTGTGATAGTACTGCAATATTTTACTCAACTTTAATTCTAGTTAGGTTTTTATATTATTAGTATTTCCTGAAGACACTCATATCAAACTGGTATTCACCGCAAAGCCGCTGCCCGTCCAGAACATGGCAAGCTCCCTTCTCCAAAGGGCCACCACGAAGCTGGTGAGCAGAGTACAGGGCACCAGGTAGAGGAGAGCAGGCTGGCCCATCTGCATCAGTGCCAAGGCAACAAAGGTCACAAGAAGACCTATGCCATATGCTGGAAGAAAACAAACACAGCAAAAACCAGTTATTCAGATACAGCTTCGCTCAAACACAACTAAATAACTGGATAAAGGAGCATTCTCACTGGAAATTTTTCTAGCAATATTCAAAACATCTACAGAAGTTTTTCAGGTATCTTTAGAGAGAAGCATTATTTACACCATGTAAACCTTGAATACTACAGTTTTTCCTTTTATAATAACAGGTGAAAGTAGTTCATGTGTTTGGCCTAGTCCATACTGTGCAATTAAATAATTACCTTAAGCAAAATTAATACATGAAATATTGTGCCTCATACTATATTCATTAATTCAGCAGACACAGACAAATATTTTGACCATTATAATGTGCTTCTTGTTTGGGTTGGCTTTGGCTGTTTCTTACTATCCTGCCACACAGCTAAAAAAAAAAAACTAGCCAGCCTGCTCTAGGTTATACAATTTTATTACTTTCTATTTAATTTCTGCATAAATGTGGCAAAATTTATTTAGCAGAAGAGAAGCAGCTTCGATCTCATAATGTAATTAATTTCAATTACATTTTCAAGACAATGAAGGTAATCCAACTTTTTCTTCAGATCCAGATTCCAGATTTTTCTTCAGAAGGTCAAGAAAGTCATTGAGTGACTGTCCAGAGAAGGGAACAGAGCTGGGAAGGGCCTGAGAGAAGGAGCTGGGGGGACTCAGCCTGGAGAAAAGGAAGGTCAGGGGGGACCTCCTCATTCTCTACAACTCCCTGAGAGGAGGGCACAACCAGGTGGGCTCCCAGGGAACAAGGGGCAAGACGAGAGGAAATGGCCTCAAGTTTTGGCAGGGGAGGTTTAGACTGGATATCAGGCAGACCTTCCTCATCAGAAGTGTTTTCCAGTCCTGGCACAACTGCCCAGAGCAGTGGTGGAGTACCTATCCCTGCATGGATTTATAAGATGTATGGATGTAGCATCTGGGGACATGGTTAGAGGTGGGCTTGGCAGTACTGGCTGGACTTGATGATCTCAGAGGGCTGTGATTAGAATAATCAATAACTCTTTACAATTCTTGAAAATGTATTTGGGGGGGGGCATATTCTCTAATTATTGAGAGTTCCTTATATCTAATTAAAATATTTCTTATTGTTTTTTATTGTGATTTAAGTCCATTGCCTCCCATCTTATGTGCACACCTGTAGAAAAAGTCTCCGCTGTCTCTGCAGTCTCCCATTAGGTAGCTGTGGACAGCAACATAATTTCCTCTTTGCCTTCTCTTCTCTTTACAACCCTGTGCTGCAGTCTTCTTCCATCTTGATGGTCTCCACTGGATTTACTCCAGTATGTCAATATCTGTCTGGCACCAGGAATCCTGGTTAACTCAGTCTTAAGTGACAAACTGAGAGGAATAATCACTCCTCTCATAACTGCTGACTCCATCTTTCTAACTCAGCCCTGTACGTGGCTCTTTCTCAGTGCTGCAGTAGCACATTGCTGACTCTTTATCAATACATTTTCCTATTTCTGCAAACACATCTTTAAAGTACCAGATAAGACAACAATTTTGTTTTACTATATATGAGAGACAATTATTTGGAACACCAATAAAAGCATCTCTCTACCCCTGCTAGAAGTGTCCATGAACCTAGGTATTTTTTCAAAAGAATTTCTAAAAAAGTTGCTCATGACAATTTCTCGTGAAATTTGCTGCAAGCATTAGAAGTTTTTGCTAGCAGAAGGACATTGTAAGAAAGACAACGGCAATCTGTCAGATCCTACTCATCACTAGTATTTAAGTTCATGGTACATAAGTCTGTGGATTTTACAAACTAAAGAAGAAAACTGATCTAGAGGTGTTCTAGTCATCTAGTCATCATAATGAAATTCCCTGCATCATAGGTTATGGATTTTTAGAATGCACAAGAAATTAAGAACAAAGTCATAGGATGATATCCCTGAACCTGAATTCTCATGCATAATCAACTCAAAGATTCATGAATCAAGAAACCACAGTGAGTAACTGCACACATGTCAAGATAGTGTAACTACAAGGGGTAGACTAGGGCTCTTGGCAGCCATGGTAACAGGAAGCAGGTATGGCAGGTATGGCAGACAAAACAGCTCAGAAAAGCAACATCAGCTAGTTTGGTGATGGAAGATCTAGCCTTGAAAGCACTTAGCTAAATATTTCTGATTAATAATAAAAGGAGGAAAAAGATAAAATCCCCAAATGATGCCATGCAAGACTGATGACACGCTTTTAGAGGGAGCCACTCCTGCAGGTCTTGTGTTCAGGTGGCACTGTGGTACATACCTATTGTGCAGGCTACAAAATAGACTCTGGATGACTGCACCTGAATATCAAATCTATGGCAATAGGCTACCAGTAAGCCTAGGAAAAGAAAGAACAGTTACAATATGCTTTCAACCTAGTCATGCACTTCATGATAAAAACAAAACAATCAAACCAGCTAGGAACTTTCAAGATTTTTTTCCCCAAAAAAACTTCCTTGGTACCCTGTGTTTAAGCACCATGACAACGTATCCAGGAGGCTGCACAATTTACAAACCAGTTATCTGATGGCACAAGCCCCATGCATTGGAAGCACTCCAAAAGTAAAATAAACAGCTACAAACTGCAGATCATGGATAAAAATGGCATCCCATCCCTACTAAACATTTGTAAAAATACAGTGTTCACAATAAGAGCAAGAGTAAGTTCAGCCCTTCAAGCTGATACTGAAGACAGGAGAATTTTATGGTTAATGACTATGCCTGCCGCAGCTTGGGGGGAGGGGGAAGACTAATGGGGATGACAGAGTTCATTATTTTCCAAAACACAAGAAAGTAATTAAATGATTTCTCAGCAGAAATCTGAAAGCCAGAAGATGCATAAATTTTTCACCAATGGTGATGCCAGGGACAGTTCTATATACTATCTACATACTAAAATCAAATTTGAGAGAAGTTGTGATAGAAATACTGGATGTAGTGTGACTAACAGGAAGTTTTGAGTGGTCAGGCATCTGTACTTACACCATGTACAAATGGACAAATAATTTCCTCTATCACCACACTATTAAAGATGCTTTATAGTATAGAATCAGTTGCTAAATCAACTCCTGCAATTTCTCTACATTTCTTCACATCACTGCATATGAAACTGAACCATAAGATAAATGTGCATTTTTCTTGCAGAAAAGGTGAATAGTGCACAAAAACCCCTATACTTGAAAATATATCAGGTTTATAGTAGTCAAATCAAACCTACCACTTGAAGCAGCAGTGCAAGAGAAATAAACTAATATGACAATGCAATGCAACATGTAAAATTCTTAACATGCTAACCAATACCTGGAACTAAAATGTCTCCAAATCCTAGGAGAGAAAAAGGCCTGTCACACAGAGCCAACGGTGAGGAATTCAGTCGTGGAACCTTCAGGACCATTGGGAGCTTGGAACGAGAGAGACATGTCTGATGAAATGCAAAGGGACACTACCTACCAGAACCTGCTCCTGTTGTACTCAAAACCGCAGGCTTAAAATACAGCAAATGTATCAAAACACGTTCATTACATACAACATGACTGACCACTAATAAAATGCATTTAAGATGGGAGCAATGAAATACTTTCTAAATACTATGTTAATTTCAAAGTCCACACATACAATTGGGTATCAACTCTGCTTTAGCTGCAGGTATGTACAAAATTTAGGTAAGCTGCTACACACATAAGAAATAATAACCTAGACAGTTCATTCACCTGGGTGCAATGAAAATCTCAAAAGACAAAGACATGAATAATGTTAAAAAGTCATTTTTCAAATAAATTTAAAGATTCTTCCTCACCCCCAGTGTTGCTACTTAAGGCATAATTTGCAATGTGAGGCACAGTATGCCACAGTCCATTGCAAACCTGTATTCTCTTTATTACAGTACATTAAAGGAACTTTATTTTCTTTTTTCTTTTCTTATATCAGTGCCAAAATAATTTTATATGCTTATATTTTCATTATTATTTTATACAATTCATTCTATGCATAAAGTTGAATCCAAAGGGGTGCTAAAGGAGTACAGGAGAGAAAACAAAAGAAGTCAAAGAAATTAGTATGGACTGTATGGATTGATCCATGTCCTGCAAACAACTATCTTCTTTGCTATTTTCCCACATGACACTATTACATTCATTGCTGAAATAGATCAAATTAATCCTTAAATTAACAAAACCAGGTTTTCCTACAGACTAATAGTTTTGTTTTGCTCACTATATCTCACTGTCTCCTACATCTCACATACTTTCCTCCCTGAGTCAGCCACATCTTGTAAGGTGTTCATGCAATTGGCTCTGTCCAACGGTGCAAACCCACTGAACACTGACTTCTGTTTTCTTCTGTCTCCAACTTGTGTTTCTCTCCTTTACCTATAGACTCATCTTTCCATAAAGCAAACGTCAAAAAAGGGAAGGAGGGGGAAGAGACAGACTGATTATGTTTTATCTCTTTAGGAAAAGATGTCTATGTTTAATTAGCAGCAAGTTAATATTTACAGATGTTGTCATGATTTTGTGAAGCTGAGCTAACTAGCTCTCTTATATTGAAACCCTGTCAAAAAAGATATAGGAAAACCAAAGCTGGTGTGATGAACCACTACAATAGAATAGACATGCAGGAGCACTTATTCCCACATTAAGTTCTTTTCAAACTGGCATCTTAATTTCAGCTTTGTGGTCTTGAATTTTAGAAAAGTTAAAAGTGCAATAGCTGAAAGTTAGTGCCAGATTTTCAGACAACATGCAGTACCTTTTCATGAGTGGCAGAATCAGATGGGCCTGCAGCCACCTCCACCATTATACTTTCCCCAGTCTAAAGAAAAAAAAAGGGAAAATTGTAAATCAGCATTTTACTCGGCAGCTCTGGGATCATTTAGGAACACAGAGAAACAAGTCATTACACTTTGCTCTGTGGGCAGCAGGCAATAGAGAAGTACCTTACTTACCTTTGTTAGAAAGGGCGTGATAAATACAAAGAATACATCATACACAAAAAGAACCAGGAGGAGTAAGGTACAACCCTGAAAGAAGAGACAAGATACTTGGTATTTACACACTATGCATTAGCAAACAGCAAAGAATTAATAATTAGAAGGCCATTCAAAGAAAAAGCTAACAAATACTAAAACAAGTAATTCATGTATTTTTCTCAATTCCTAAATATTTTATATGGAGGAATCTAAAGGGTCTTATATCCACCATATAAAAGAAAGTAATTCTTAAAACACAAAATTACACGTTAGTGCCCAAAAGTCTTTATCTTGTAAAATCGGGAAATGGTGGCACTTCAATTTGCTGGGAAATATGAAGGATCTCTGCATCTGGAGGATGCCAGGCACAGCTTGAAAAACTATACACCCATTTACTGTCAGTGTATACAAACTTACAGGTGAAGATAATTTGAAACGAGTTTGAAGAGCTGCTTAAGGACAACTAAATGAATAATGATGATTTTTGTCTTAGGATACTGACTAAAGTCAGAAAGATTTGAAAAAAACACTAGACTGATGCACTAGTTGTATGTCAATTTGAAAAACAAAATCAAACCAATCAGAACAAAACCAACAAAATACCCAAATACTAAATACATAAATAAATATGTGGTGTGTGATTTACTAGTCAACATACTACAGAATCTACAGAACAATCACATGCCACTTATTGGTCTTCATTATACTCATTGCATCCCTTTTTTCCGTGCTACATATGAATGGAAGTGCATTTCCAAAGCAATATACTCCATTATAAGTGACTCCTCTGTTCAAACACATACATGCAAACTTTTCTTCAACTTTCTTCTTAAATTCTTTAACTTCTGTTTAACTTTCATACCTTAAATGTAGGCAGGCGAATTGTTTTCAACATGTAGAGACAGAAAGCAATTCCTAAAGCATCTTGCAGAACCCAGGCCCACCTTAAAAAGAAGACAGCAACATTTTTGAAGGAAATAGCAGGAAAAGCAGACCAAGCCTTGTCCTCACTTAGGACCTGCTTGGGACAAAAAAAACCTTTATTCATTGCTTGAACCCTTTATTTATTGCTTGAAACTGACACTGCTGTCAGCATGAATTTACAAATGGGAAGTTGCTCTTCATCAACTTGATAACCTTCCACACAGAAGTGCCTGGGAGATGAGGGAAGAACTGTGCCATAGTATCCATCTAGACTCAGTAAGGCTTTCCATGACAATCTTCCATAAAATCTTCACAGAAAAACTGATGAAGTACAAACTGAATGAGCAGTGAGGTAGACTGAAAACTGGCTGAATGAGGTCAGTGGATACCAAAATGGCAAGTGCTGGGGTCCTTTGTCCTGTGTATAGCACCTTTGCGTGCTGAGGCAAATTTACAGCTGGGCCTGTTTTTCAAGTTGAGTATATAAGTGCTCTTTGCTTTACTCTCAACTGCTAGGGTCAAAGAGAAGTAGGATCTGAGATAAACAACACCGAGGTTTCCCAAAAATTGCTATGGTCTAGGTACAATGAGAGATGAAGCTGTTGGATCAATACCTGTGGACTTGCTGATGGAGTCTCGTGCAGGGGACACTCAGGCCCACTCCAGCTCTGAGGCAGAAAATTAATTTCCTAGTCCTAAATATTGCAGGTTGGAACATCTCTATAGTACTGCTGCATGCCTCAGTCTGACACTCATCTCTCTAAAAGGTCTTTCAGAGTTGATGATTCCTGGATTTGAGTTCTATCATTGGATGATCCACACAGAACACAGATCCCACAAAAGCAGTAACATGCTTTCAAAGTACAAGTACTGAACCCCCAATAGAGGTACTAAGAAGATGAACACAACCTTTGCACATGGGGAAATTGGAATATCTGGGAGTGCGATAAGAGGTAAAAAACCCCAAACAAAAACCAAAACAGAACACTACATAAAAGATCCAACTCTAACAAAAGTGGCAAGAGCATGCTACAATTAGGTACTACAGCAACACTGGGTGTAGAGAATTCCTGACTCATACAAGAAAGCGGAGAGAAACTGAAGATCTGACAATCTTACCAGTTCTTATTCTCATTAAGAAGTAAGTTAGACAACTTGTGTGCAAATTTCCATATCACTTCTGAAAAGCTGTCTTAAGTCAAAGAGATCAGAATACTGACTGGGACTCAGAGAAATTCAAACTTAAAAGAAACAGTTTTCTGTAATTTAAACGAACAAGAAAAAGACAGAGTACATAAGGAACAACTAAGAATTTTTGCCTGTCTCTACTTTTTTTTCCTGTTATTCCTAATTTCTGGATACACACTTATTTATACTATAAAGCATATTACAAATTTTAGCACAGAAACTAATATGTACTTACTGATCTTCATTTCTGAAGATTCCCCAGATTACACTGACAGAGATACAAAATACTGCCAAGAGCAACATCCGAACCTGGGGACGCTTGTGAAAATAAGGCAAGTTGTTGTCTGGGATTCTGAAAAAGAAACACACCAAAGCTACAGTTGTCTATGTAGATAGCCTCTTCCTTTATAAATATTTTGAAGCATGAAGCCACCTTTTAAACCCCACACCTACCCAACAAGTTTCCCTATTAAAATTTTGAAAGTTGCCACATACCTACACTTTCCCAAGGGGAATCTTCTTACAAAGGGAGACAGACAACTGTAAAGACCAATCGAGGCAGCCAGGCAGAATATTCCTATTATAACATAGACTGAGGGGAAAAAAGTATTAGGTCCAAGTAAGATAAGGCAAGAGATGCTTTCTTCGTCTCCTGGCTGAATAAAGAACAGACAGTCAATAAGGCTAAATTAGAAATAAGGCTTACATTTCAACAGTGAAAGGTAAATTCGGAGACTTCAAATGATTGATTAGACCTGTGCTCTTTAATTCTAGCTCCTTTTACTCAGGTGTACTTTATGTAATACCTATTTAAACAAATCAAAACCTCTATCCTAACCTTAAATTAAGTCATAAGCTTCAAAGGCAACCTATGGTGAAGCATTTATCTTCTCTATATGAGTATACAGGAGCACTGTAAGCAAATATCAAAATCACTAAGTAGCAAAATGAATCAATACTGATGGGATGCATGTTTCACTGCTTCCTCAGAAATACAAAGAAGCAGTAGGCTCTCATGGTTATTTTGTCAATCTGATGAGTGATCAATAGAAAATTATAATCTTTATAAAGATAAAAAAATTATCCTTGATCTTGACTTCAAATTGAACAATAATAGAAAAGAATAGGTCTGAGAACACCTTTAACAAAAATAAAAGGTGGAAAATAATAGGTCTTTAATGTTTGGAAGAAGCTTTATGACCAACCTCACAAAAAGAAGGATTAGAAATCTAATCAGTGAGTTTTCTTACAGTATTTTAAATCATATTGGGATGAAGACACATGACAGAAGAGAGATGTTTCATTATTATTTTCACAATAAAATGTTCTTTGAATGATGTCAGCCTTGTGATATTCAAGATGTACCGATACAAATACAACCTTAAGAGTACCTAAGTGGTCATAGAAGAAATAAAGGAGGACGAGCATTGAGCAGCACATCACTACAAACACACAGATCATTATGGGAGTCACATCCACTGTTTCATCATCATGCTTCTCTGCCCCATCATCACGCTTGTGCTTCATGTACCTCCTGAAAGAGAAACACAGCTACAATCAGTTCACTCCTTCTGCAACCAAATATACAAGGACGCTGAATCTACAGCATAAAACACAAGGGGCTGAAAACATGTCACAACACCAATGCCTGCTTTGATTCCCATGCAAGTCAGTGGAACACCGTATTTTCCATGGAGGTATGAAGATAAGCTGTAATGCAATGTATATACCAGTAACTGCTGTGTTAACTTATCTAAAGTACTATTTCATTTGCTAAAAACTCAGCTGAATCCTGAAAACTACCACAGAATAATTTACTAACTTCAGAAGAAATCCTTAAATCAGGTTGTGTATACAAAATAAATGTTAGAAATAAGTGTGGCACAATGACCTCCTTCTCCCAGTCCCACTTGGTGGGAAAAAGTAACCATAAAATTTCATTTAAAAACTGGTAACAAACATAGCATATGTTAGCCATCCAATCAATCTAGTTTGGCCTTTGGCAGTAAAAGCAAATTTTATTATTTTTTTACAATGTATTTTTGTGGTGAAATTTTACAAAAGCCTGAACAGGAAGCCTATTACTTAATAATTTTCTTTCTGAGGTTTTCAAACGTTTGGTCTTTTGACAGGGCAAAATCCTAAGATTATCTACATGCAATTTATACTCCATTGATTTCCTACAGTGACCAAACCAATGCAAGGCTCAGGGCATTTCAAACCTCACATCATCATTTTCCCATTCTGGCTAAAGAGTCTCCTAACCTCACTAGTAGAGTTGCCAGGTGATGCTTACATAAACACCTTTTTTTTTTTTTAATTGTGAATAATACAGGAAAACTGGCATACTGCATTCAGTTACTCACTTTTTCACATCTCTGCTTCCTGCCCAGTAGCCTCCAATTGCAACAGTCCCCACAGCCATGACAAAGATAATCACCATGTTGTAGTCCAGCACAGGTTCATTTGGTGCATACATTGCTCCTTTCACTGAGCTGCCAAAACTCTGTGGAGGTAAATACAAGTTAGGAAGGATATTCAAAAAGCCACCTTAGCAAAGGTTCACTTACTTAATTTTCACTAAGCAACCTCAGAATCAGGCTTTATTATAAACACATAAGAGCCATCTATTGGTTCCTCTATTAGTGATATTTATTTCTAGCACCAGGCTGAATTTTGATTTTATTCCGAAGACTGAGAAATAATCTCCCTAGAGATTTGATTTTTTTTTCCAAAACACAATAATGCAATCTTCAAGAATACATTCTCTACATATTCAAAGCTCTTAAGGTGGACTTAATACTGTTGAGCAGTGACTCATTTACATAAGCTAATATAAATGAGAGCTTTTAGTATTGAGTTTACCTTGCCAATATCTAACATATCAGTATAGCTAAGCAGAGCCACAGGAATATCAATCTCTTCATACTGACTCCTATTACCTCCAGGAGGAACCTGAAAGACAGTTCAAACCAGGTAAAAATACGTTTATTTCAGCAAGTACTTCTACTCCTTCAAAAGGGTTAAAGTTGCAAGTTCTGTTTCTGCTAATTTGAAAAATATTGTAGAAAGGAACTTACTGACAGCTAACACTCAAAAGTTAAAATATATGCCTGTTCCCAGTAAAACAAAAGTAATGTAAGACCGTAACAGCAAAATGCAGTAACTAAATTTCATGCAGTATCTTTTGCACATCAGGGTCACGGGTTTATGACTAGTGTGTGCCTCTAGTATCGACCAGGACTCAAACCTACTAATTTTATTTTCAAAACTACTAATTTTAAAATACATGCTGTTGATGCTCCAGCTGAATCTAAAGCACTACATTCAGTGTGGTATTAATGATGGAGTCACAAATCCATCTCATCCTTTGACTCCAGTATTTCATTTGGAACAAGGGCAATTCTGAGCCCTCAACTTGAATGTCACATGAGCTCTGTGCTGACTCTTCCTACTTAAATGAGTGCCTCCTGTTTCATTCATTCTTCCATCAGATGTATGGCATTCACACATAACTATGCAACATATGCACATGCAGGAACACATGCATTATTTACTTTAAAGAGGAACATCAAATACCAACAATGTGCACTGAAGACAAGACAGTATCTAGCATTAGAGGAGTATCAGCAGCATAGGAAGATAAAAAGCAACTTACCAGTCTCTCTCTACTAACAATTAGCAGTCCACGAGCCCCATTTATCTGAGCAAGCCTCACTTTCTCATAGAAGGTGCAATTTCCTCTCATCACCATGGGTATTTGATTATTAAATCCCCCATCAGGTACATCAGAAGGAGAACACAAAACAGACGCTGTCTGATCCTGCAGTTGCAAGAGTGACTGAAAAATATAAATTAGTTAAACACAAAATAATAAAAAAAATCAAGAGCAGAAGCCAGAGTTTCTAAAGAGTAATTTTAAACTTTCCAGTAATGGAGTGGTAGAGTATTCTCAGAGCAACATGAAAGCTGACACAGTGCTACCTTCTCTATTACGTAGAGTCCTGCCTTGTTTCACCTTATTGTACAGAATTCTGCTAGTAATAAAATTTGGGATATGACCTTCACTTGCATTTATTTTCTTCAGCATCGTTGCTGTTCTGATGCACACAGCCAGGATGTGGGAGGAGTACAGCAAGGTTTTATCCTTGCTGGGGTGGCAGAGTGGCAGGCTGGGATGATGGAGGGTATGAACAGCCAGAAACCAAAACACAAGCTGGGGAAAAGTACAGAAGCATAGGCAATAAACTTACACGTTGAAACCTACTGTATCCAGTGACCTGAGGTTCTGGATTCTAAAGTACTTCTCTCACCACTTGTGAACCAGAGACTTAGTAAGCCTATCCCAATTCCTTAGTTTTGGCCCCCCTCATACCCAAAGGCATCTAATCTTGTGTTTCAACAGGAACATCCCAAAGACACTTCAAGGTTTTAGAAATAACACTGGCATGAATTGTTCCTTGTAAAATCTAAACAACCACCAGCATCTTTGCCCAGTTCTCTTTGTAAGTCACCTGAAAACTGCAATTATCTACCAAGCAACCAAGCTATGCTAAGTGATGCGGGTCTCAACCCTTTGCTGAGGTGAGCTGTTAGATTTGAGAAGAGTCACGGTAAAGTTTTAACCTGAAAAAATGACACATGGAACAGTTTGTATTAGAAATCCACAGGTACATGATACACAATACCTGTGTAATGAACTCTACTGTTTTAGGAGGGAAAGGGAAGTGTCAGGCAGTCAGCAGCTTCAACCTTATTCAGAAAACTGCTGTCTCCAGCCTGACCTCTAGAGACAGGGAAATGCTCCTATCCACACTTCCTGGTTGTCCAAGTTTCAGAGCACAGAGCACAACATAAATGCAGAGTGAGCTCAGAATGGTGCACTGCATTGCCTCAGTTAATGAACTGTACTGCTGGAGCACTGAAGGAAGAGGAACAAGAATGTGAAAGAAGGGAAAAGCAGGAAAGAATCAAGCAAGGAGACAGGGATTGGCAAGGGATATAGCACACACTACCCAAGTGTCTGTGCAAGCTGTTCTGGACTACACTGGCTCCTGCAGAGCTACGGACACACGACGCTAGTGAATTTTTATGAGACTGATTTAAACAAGGTGTCTACAGTACCATCCCCAAATTTCCTAAGGACCACAGTCAGTCATGTGCTGATTCACATCCACAGTCAGGGCAAGTGCAAGAGTTTATCAGCTGAGTCTATACAAGGCAAAGGTAACTACTGATGTATCTAGGGACTAATCTTCAGTTGCAATAAAGCCACCAGAAGTAACTGAGACTTGCCTACACATTGGTAAGGAACTCTAATAATTCTGTGGGGCACTCAACTGGGTGAATAAAATGAACCAAGTATCAATCAACTACATGTTCCCCTATTAGTAGCTCATTCAAAGAGCATTTGCTGATTTCATCATTCAGTGCCAGTAACTTTTTCTCACAGAAAAGACTGAAGAATTTACAAATTTTTCAGCTCATACAGCTTTGGATAATGTAGCAAAAGCTTGACACAGTTTAAGACTTCTTAATCTTGCACTTGACACTGAGAAAGCACTAAAGGCCACAGCTCAATACATAAGAAAAACTATGTGGTATCTTCTTGTATCATGCTGATGTACAAACACTCCTTTGCAAGCACAGTTATGTGCCATTTTAATTTCATTGATCACGTAATTAAAGAAGAGTATTTCTGTTTTGAACAGCAATAGTCATTATCTTTGCACAATGCCTGGAAATGAACATTGCCATCCTAGCACTGCCTAGTGATCTTAAGAGATAAAATATTTTCTAAGCAGAGCAAACAAAGGAGTTGCTTCAAATTCTACTAATCCAAATGAGAAATCAGAAGTTTCCTTGTAACAAAGGCATTTTAAATATATTTTTTGTCATCAGTTAGCTAGGTACTTACAGCTTTACCCAGATCATGTGGCAAATGGGCCCACTGAGAATTGAAGAGAATACAGTAGTCTTTTCCTTTGCTGCTCCCCTTCTCTGAAAGGACATGTACCATCCCATACTCACAGTACACCTGAAAATGTAACAAAAAATTTCACAAGAATTTTAGGTTACATAAAATATCAGAAGTGAAGGCAGTAAAGAAAAACGTAAGAGTCTACAAAGTTTCTGCATTTGTGCAGGTAGGACAGTGGAATTTGTTATTATTTCCATCATATTTCAAAGAGAGACTTCAGATACATTAGGCAGATTCTCTTCTACACAGCAATTGGTCAAAGAATCAAATGAAACAATACTGGATGTGTTTAAAGAAAAAAACCCAAAACCAACAAACCAAAAGCCAACCTCAAACAACACAGATAGACTGGTGCACTTATGCATATAATCACAGCAAGGGAAAGAAGCTGGACTAATGCAGAACAGATATGAGACTTGGAGTGCTCTGTTCAGCTCTGGAGCTCCCAACAGCAGGAGGACGTGGAGCTGCTAGAGCCAGGCCAAAGGAACCACGGAGATGCTCCAAGGGCTGGAGCCCCTCTGCTCTGGGGACAGGCTGGGAGAGCTGGGGGTGCTGGAGAGGAGAAGGAACCAGGGAGAGCTGAGAGCCCCTTGCAGGGCCTAAAGGGGCTCCAGGAGAGCTGGAGAGGGACTGGGGACAAGGGATGGAGGGACAGGACACAGGGAATGGCTTCGACTGCCAGAGGGCAGGGCTGTATGGGACATTGGGAAGGAGTTCTTGGTTGTGAGGGTGGTGAAGCCCTGGCACAAGGTGCCCAGAGCAGTGGGTTGCCCCATCCCTGGAAGTGTTCAAGGCCAGGATGAATGTGGCTTTGAACAGCCTGGCCTAGCTCACCCCATCTCAGGGGCCTGGAAGCAGATGATCTGTAAGGTCCCTTCCCAGTCAAACCATTTCATGATTCTATGAATAAGGCACCAACTCCTCAAAGTATAGCCTGAAATAATGATCAATTCTAGATTTTTATCACTCCAAACTCAACCTTGGACATCTTTGCTGAAGATGTGGCAAGACCCCATAGCAGTAACAACTCTTTTTCTGTCCTAGGTAGCACAAGTAGACTCTAAAGTCTACTTACTGCATTTACTTATCTCTGCTTCAATGACCAGTTGTCACTTGCCAAAACTCCAACATTTGCAACAATATAAATAGTGAAGATTACATATCTAAGATTTATAATTAAAGGCCTATCCTGGGTCTGGCTAGGATGGAGTTAATTTTCTTTACAGCAGCTGGTATGGTGCAGTGTTTCAGTTCTGTGCTCAAAACAATGCTGATAACAAACTAATGTCCTAGCTATTGTTGAGCAATGTGCAGAGCATCAAGGCCTTCCCTGTTTCTCTCCCTGTTCACCCAGTGAATAGATGCCCAGCAGGTTTGGAAGGGGTCATAACCAGGCAGATGACTCAACAAAGAGATATTCCATAGCATGTCATGTTCATTTTTATAAGGAGGTTAGCTATTTTTTGCATCATGTACATGTTAGAATTCTCTCGAAGAAGAACTGGAAACCGAGATAACAGAACCCAGATCCTGTAGTAACACCAAGAAAGAGAACAAGAACTACAGCAAAACTAAACATAGTAACATGCAGTAATCTATCAGTTTTAGGCATCTCAGTTGTGATACACAGTATGTAACCTGCTTGCTCAGTGAACTGCTCACACCACATCTAAGTTTAACACAAATATTTTCAGCTTCCCATTCTTGCAAAAAATACACAGCAAACACAGTAACTTCCTTGTTATTTTGGTTATGTCAGATTGTACCAGGCCATTTTCCAGCAAAACTGAAAGATCTGGGGGCTCACAAGTAGGACTAGCAAATACTTCCTTAACACAGACTTTCTCACAAATCTTATTCTTCATGATGAAGTCTGTTCTTTTAAATGTCTGCTTCTTCCCTTCCCTGTGGATAGTGACTCAATTTTGTGAGTACTAGGTATATTCCTTATCTGCCACCCAAAAAGCTGAACCAAAATCACCTACTAGACTATATACATATAATGTATGTATGTATATACATAACCTGCAAAATAAAGTACTTTTGTGGAGTTGATGCAGTTGACTGTTTGTACCCCAAGTCCTAGTAGATGTTCACCCAGGGAATCAAAAAGTAGGAAGACAAAACAATTCTGGAAGTACATACAGCTTCCCTATCACTAGTGGTGGTTTTCTTTAACTCTGATTAGTGGTGACTTCATTCTCATATTAACTGAGCCAAAATAATTGTACATGCTCCCTGATCTTGGAAGTGGTTGAAGAAACACAAAGTATATCATGAGGTCTGTTCATACTGTTCTAAGGACTCTGAAATGAATCCTCCTGGCCATTTCTAAGTTGCAAACAGGTGCAATGGTTCTCTTGCTGACAAGGGGCTCTTGTCCTCGCTTGAACAAAAACCATCAGAGCATTGCTTTAACAATCAGCCATCAAGTTCTACAGGACACTTCTGTGCTCCTCAGGGCAGCAACACTGGGATTTGCAGGCTGTCTTGGGAGGACTGTCAGGCACCATCTGAACTCATTGAAAAACTGTAAGTTATGAAGTCTTTCCTTTATACAAAATACTGAACATCAGCTCCTCAGGGTGAGGTTTGCTGTGACCATCTGGTCAGGTCTGAACATCAACACAGTAAGAATTCAATTTCAGATTAAGATCTGACCAGCTGATGCAAAGAGATTTTAATGCTTCAGATAAAAAATACATTAAGATACAAAACAGTGCACAGAAAGCAGGACAAAATCTAACTTTTAAAATGTAATGCAATTATACAAATCCAGATCAAAGCTTCTTTTTGAAGGAGAGTCTTGCTGATCTTCAGTTGCTGCATTAGAACCTCACAGTGCTCTTGCAGAGCGATTTCAATTGTTCAAGTAGTGCTGTCTGGTAATAGATTATAAGAGGACAATGCTGAGAGCAAATGCAAATCATATCTGTTTTTTAGCTTCATATAAGCTATGAGATAGTCATGGAAAAAAACTGACCACATATGAAATGCAGCAGTCTCAAAATACTATTTCAGCCCATTGATTTGGAAATCCAGTCCTTAGGAATACCAAACACTTTAATGTGACTGGATTCTTCCTATTATAACTCCTATTATAATTTTTGTCTTCCCAGAGCCTTCCATTCCTATTGTAACAGGAAGTTTCTCCATTTTATTGTGGATACTCATTAATCCTTACCAGCACTTAGCACTTGGAAGTTTGTTTAAAAGCATACATAAAATATCTAAAACAATATATGTACAATATATGATCTGGTTCTCATCTGAACTAGTCACACATTTAGTTTCTGATGGAACGCTGTCATTCATTAGTAACCCCAGGACACAGGAGGAGGACAAGACTATCAGTTCACAACCAGCAGCAGGTTCAAAAAAGCCAAAACCAACCAACCAAAACCCCCTCAAACCAAACAAAAAAGACCCTAAGACCCCCTCCTGCCCCTGCAACCATCTTATCTTTCTACCAACCTCCTTTATGTCATATTCCTCTCTATCCACACACCCAACTCCTTCCTTTCCACTCTTCCATCTCTCTTTCTCCAGTCCAGCACTCAAGCAAAACTGAAGTCATTGACTAAAGGTATGTTTAATTGCTCTGCTTCAGCTTTCCCCAAGGAAATCACTTTGTGCCAACCATAACTGATGAAACTTTGTTCTGGAGAGAAATATGATGTCATATCTCTAACCATCGCTGCTACTAATTAGAAAGTTGTGACAGACTAATTTGTCAATAGCTAGTTTAACATTCATAACCTAAACACATTAATGATTTGATAATCATGCAGTTACACCCTTACACATACACCTCACACATCTGTTTCCTCATGCAGCAGCTGAGAAGCAAGATGCTAAAGGTGACTGGAGTCAGCAGCAATATCGTATCTTAACATGCTTGTTCAAAAATCCATGAAAATAATTCATGACTCTTACTTCTCCGTCTTTATTTCAAACTCTACTACACAGAAGCTACCATTACACCCCTAGGAGACACTCAGAGTAAAAAGATGATTTTTGGAAAACTTTTGAGAATGGTTTGGGGAGGGACCTTTAAAGGTCACCTTGTACAAACCCCTGGCAATGGGCTGGGAAATCTTCAAGCAGACCAAACCTTGTTAAACATGACCTTGAACACTTTCAGGGATGGAGTACCCATCTCCCCTCTGGACAACCTGTGCCAGTGTTTTACCACCCACATTGTAAAATCGCTCTTTAACACACACAGTGTGCCCAGAGGCAATGATGGCATTCTGCTGCAAGATGTCAGCAAAGCAGAAAAGAAATGTCATTGTACAAACACACAGGAGGTAGAGATTTTTATATTTAGCTCTTCTGCATATAAATGGTCTTTATTAACATATGCAGCAACTTTTTCCCTTTTTAATAACATTAGTGTTAACTAAGTCCTTCAGAACCAGCGATGTTTGTCCTGAAGCACGCTGATATGGGAGGCCACACCAATGAGCTCCATGAACATTAAAGCCGCTTGAGCACAGTGCAAGTTTCCAAGGTATCTGTGGAAAAAGGGAGACACTACTGTGCATATGCTGTGAGGAAACAAGAACTCCAACTCCCTGATGTAGTGGACTTGTTAACTCATATCTCAGGTATCCAACCATAATACCTAAACTACTTTCAAGAGAAGCAAGTAACTTAGAAAAGTAACCTGTAGTTATTATCATCTTGAATTTGACTTCCCAAAGTAACATGCAATGAAGATGCAAATACAGTCACACACAAAAGACAAGAACAAAATCATGTTCCCTGCTTATTGTACACAGTCTAACTGGGCTTAGATAAGCAAACAAAACATGGAGTATCTTAGTTTTGAATATTACATGTACAACTCTCTCCCAAATCTTCAGGCAGTTTTGCAGGAGCTAACTCCTGTAATTGAACAGCTTTATGCATATGGGAAGCAATCAAGCTGTACAGTTAAAAGTTTTACATCTATAAGATGTACGGCACACATCTTTAAAACGAGAGTAAGCACACGGTGTGTTGCTAGATTTCCGGGAAATAACTATTACTGGAACAAAGGAATAATGCCTAAAAGGCACACAGGAGACAGTTAAACACAATTTTGCTTTCTGAGCTATTTAATTGATGTTCTTCAAAGTATTAAGAGAGTAAAAGGTTCCTAATGTGAAGTGCTCAAAACATTTTAGAAGCTATGTGTATTTGTGTGCCAAAAGCCAAATAAAAATCAAGCATGAGAGGAATTAAAGGCAATATGAGCAGGGCTAACACAGAATTATACAAACTCTGTGGAGAATATAATCTGTGGATAATGTGGATTAACAGACACTTTTACAAAGCTATTATCAATTAGAATCAAAGNAGAAGAGGGAACACAGAATTATACAAACTCTGTGGAGAATATAATCTGTGGATAATGTGGATTAACAGACACTTTTACAAAGCTATTATCAATTAGAATCAAAGCATAGTTCTGAAGTTTGTTCCCTTCCACTTTGATGCGTCCAGTTTTGTTTTTACTCATGTCAGTAGGTATGGGACAACAAAAGCTCAAAGCAGTGCTACTGGTACACTGGCATAGTGACAACATTTATGATGATTCCTTATTCCTAGAGACCACTTCATAACCAGGATTAACCAGGAGAAAATGTCATCTCCTGTGCAGATCCAATACAATGTGCCTACAACCCCAAAGGCTCTTTTCCAAGTGTTTGGATATCGAGTCCAGCCTTTTTCAAACACAGAAAAACAATAACTGCTGTGACAATAAGGTATATTATAATCCTTGCTTCTTACTGATCTTATGGCCTAAAAAGCATACAATAGCGTATAATTAACACAAAAGGAAGTGTTTTCTACAAAGCTGCAAAACTGGAGAAGATTTTCACACAATAGAAATGTAAAATCTGAGGGCAGAATTTAACAAACAAGCTAATCTAACATTTGTTGCAATAGAAGGGCATATCTGTTGGCTCTGAATCTCATCAGGGCCTTCCACAGATTAATGCATAAAAGAAAAGAATACTCCCCAGATTTTTTAGGTGAATTAATGTAGCTCAGAGGCAAGCACTTGACCTGCAAGTTAAATGATGGAAGAAGGTGGAGAGGAAGAATTCAGCTCACCTGTATTTCAAGAAACTTAAGTGTTAGTGACTGATCCAATCTAACATCTGTCTTGTTTGTTCCTCCCTGCCTCTGGCAACACAATCACCTGGACATCCTATACACCTCTTCTGCTTTTAGCAGCTCTATTAACTGGTCACTCACGTCTCAGAGAGATTTCACAGACACTGGTAGCTGTGTTCTTTGAAGAAGGAGTGAATGAGCTATCCTACTCTCACAGTAAGTACCATGTGAGAGTTCCCAGGAGCTGCAAAGTAATTTTTTTCCAGGAACTGCACTGATCCATCTGGAGACCAGGAGTAGCAGGCAGCGAAGCTGCACACAAATAATACACTCCTTCAACAAATACTGTACAGGGCAGAGAGCTACATACTCATAATGCAATAATTCCAGGAGACTGAATTGTCAGCCACCACCTTAGTGCAGAATTTCGGACAGTCTGTCCAATTCTTTGGACCCGCATCATAGAGCGCCCTAATTTAAAATACAAAGCCATCACTTCAATTCAATATATTCTACTGAAACCTGCTATAGTGAAGGCCAGCTAGATCCAACACACTCGCTGAAGATCATGTTACTATGTTCGTCACTAATCAAAGGCTCAGGTATCTGCTGTTGTTACATGTCAACTGAGGGGTAACAAAGCCTGGAAGGAATAGGAACTTAAATGAAATGCGAGAACTCAAATACCAAAGCAAGATCTAGGTGCAGATTGTACTTGGATCTATAAGATCACACCACTCTTATAGTGTTCCCAGATGAGGACCCAGATTTGGAAGAGCCATGCTTCACTAGCCAAGCTGATCCTTCTCCCTAAATCAGACTATAGAAGCAAATATGGACACTATCTCCTCTTGCCCCAGGGAAAGCAAACAAAAATAATTTATTATCCTGTTTCAAGGAGGGGGACAAATGTATATGCTCACTAAGGCAAGAGTAAGGACTGAGAATGAGTACAGCTGGTGCACAGCAAATGCACACAGCAGGTCCTGACAACAGCTGTCAGTTCTGTCCCCTGGAATAACTCCAGCCATCAGTCACAGGGGTACCAAACTCAGGAGAAGTGCAGCAGAGCACTTTTCTCTGCCTTAAATTAAGGAGGATATACCACCCAAAACCATCCCAACAAGTGCAAGCACAAGAGATGCAAAAATAATGCACCATACGAGGTATTCAAGCAAATTTTTAAAACGTCAGCTTGGCTAACATTGCTAAATATTGGCAACACACAGTACATCCACTTTTCACTGCAGCAGCAGGACTGTTTCAGCAGCCTGGCCAGTCTGCCCAAGCTTACTCAAGTACATTAACACTTCCACTGCACAAATATACCCAATGCTTACAGACAGAAATGTGCTGCAATGCATGGAGCCACCAGTGGACGATTTCACCCGCTGTCCTGCACTGCCATGTGCTCACCTTCCCCATACTGATGGATAAACTGACTCCATGCCAGTCTTTGACTTGTTCATGTTAATTTAATTAAATTAATCTTGTTAATTAAATCCTACTAATTTGTGGGGCCAACACTGCTACTACCAGTCCTTGTGAAACATCAGTGGAGATCAGTGGAGAAAATGCACAATGAAGATATACTGAAGATAAATATAATGAACGGAAAAAGGGGATGGGGATACAGAAATAAAGAAGGTAGCTGACAACCAGACTACTCTGTAACTATAGATTATTGGCATTGAATCAGTAAGGAGACAGACGGAGAAGAAGGAAAAATAAGAGTTCCATGTTAAGATGTTACACCAGTAATATTCAAGAAGACATAGTATGGTCCAAACTACCTAATAAACAGAAATTTAAATGATACATTAAATTTGACATTTCAAAATTTTCAGAATACAAAACACCGAACTTAAAAGGCAAAAGCATGTAATGCAATTAGTAAAAATCCACTCTCTCCTGTGTCAGGATTACATGCCTAGCTCGTCACATCGTTAGAAATGTATCCCACAAAACTAATTAATATTTTAGCAATGACAATACAAGACTCAAGACAGACTACAGAGTCAGGCTGAGCAGAAATCCCTTCTTTTCGGCTGAATGCTTCCTCACAGGGAGTCTGTCAGTCGGAATAAACCCAGAGTCGTCCCTGCGGGGACCCCTCCCGGGGGCTGCCTGGTGAGGATGCTAGGCTGGGCCCGCGGGGGCCCCGAAGTTTTAAGAACTCCGAGGAAAACGCTAGTTACCACGGAAAGAATTTACAAAGTCTCCAGCAAGCCCAGACCCACAGATACATCAACGCTGCCAAATCGCGGAGGGCAGGGCCCCCAGCCCCCTGCGCTCCGCTGCCTTCCCGCGGCCACAGCTCGGCCCCGCCCGCGGCGGGGCGGCTGCAGCACCCCTGAGCCCCCGTGGGAGGCGGCTCCGGGCACGAACACACCGCACTGTCCGCCCGGGCCCGGCCGCTCCGCGCCCTCAGCCGGGGTGCCCGCGCGTGGCTTGGGGAGGGCACGGCCCGGCATAGGCACTGACCTGCGGTAGCAGATGCAGGAGCAGCCAGAGGCGGAGCCGGGCCGGCCGCGCCGCCATACCGGGCCTGCCGCGCCGCTGCCGCTTTGTTCCGACCTGGGCCGGGCCGGACCCTTCCGCACAGGGCGCCCAGAGCCCGCCCCGGACGTCCCGCCCCACGGCCCCCAGCCGCCAACGGGCTCCGCCGGGGCGTCACGTCACTTCTGGCGGTGCCGAATGAAATGGCGAGTGGCGGTGGCGGCGGCGGCGGTGCGGGGAAGATGGCGGTGAGGAGCGGGGTGGCTTGGGCGGCCCTGCGGCAGCGGTGCTGGTGGCCCTGCGGCAGTGGTGTCGGTGCCGGTGGCGGTGGCTCTGCGGCAGCGGTGCCGGTGGCCCTGCGGCAGCGGTTCCGGTGCCGTACCCCGGTGTACCCGCGGAGTGCCCGCGCCCCGTCCCGCCGCCGCGGGATCCCGCAGGAGCGTTTGGCGCGGTGTCTGCGCGGATGGCGCGCTTTAACTGGGCCGCCTGTGCTCTGCCGTAGGATAAGGAGAAGAAGAAGAAGGAGAGCATATTGGACCTCTCCAAATACATCGACAAGACCATCCGGGTGAAGTTCCAGGGCGGGCGGGAAGGTGAGCCCGGCGCGTGGCTGCAGCGCTCCTTCTCTCGCTGCTTTCCTACCCAGGGAAAGCGAGGAGCAGGGGCGTGCTTTTACTTATTAGTGGTTGCAGTTACTGGTGTGAAGCTTTTCTCGTTTTACTATTCCATTCATCTCCTGCGTGCACTTTTATCTTTATGGTTTATCTGTGTGCCTCTTATTAGTTGTCTTGAACAACCTTATTTTGGCTGGTTTGTTGGTTTTATTTTGTTTGTTTGTTTGTTTCTCTTCACTTAAAGGAACAAAAGCTTACTTAAAGGAACAAAAAAACGTTTATGGATGTAGCAATTAATACAACTGTCGTGCCTTTTATCTCTTGACATGGTAAGCGTGGCCGGAGTTGATGGTTCGATACATGCCACCGTGCCTTTCCATCCCGTCCATTCCCAACTGGGAATGTACATCCCAGTGCGGTTGGTGCTACCCGCAGGCACTTGTTTTTCTGAGTTAGCTATGTGCTGCATTTTAAAACTCCACTGAGTCCTAATGCTTATAAGAGTTTGGAAGTTACTTGAACTCCTTACTGATAAGTGTATTTGTCAAAATGGGAAGTCGCTCTGTGTGATTTTGTGATATATTTAGCAACTGTTTTTGTGGAATTGCATTCTCCACTGGGACAAAGTGCTGGTCTATCTGCAGTGCCTTCCCATGAGGCAGTGCTTATGCTAAAGGCATGATGTGCCAGGAGGGCACCTGCAAAATTTAGTTTCTGAGGAAAGAACTTAAAATATGGTCTTGCTTCATTTTTAACCGTAACCTTTAATTAAGGCTATTTATTTCATATTGGAGTTGTCTTTTTCTTTCTTTTTTTGTGACTTGTACTGGTTTGTTGTACAGTATTCTTAAAACTCCCTTGAAATTGTCTGAAAGCAAAAATGTTAGTGTCTACAAGAACATTTTGAAGACTTGATTGAAAAGTCTGTAAGTTTTAATTGGTACAATGCAGACTAGCTTTTGTATACTTGCCACTGATAAAAGAGGACACTGTTTAATACCTCTGGCTTCATTTGTTTGGTCTTGCCTGAAGGCGGGAACAGGGCTGGAGAACTGAATGTACCTTTCATGAAGTCTTGTGTTTCTCTATACCTTGTTTTGTCCTAATCATTGTTTTCTGTGTGGCCTTCAATAGCGAGCGGTGTCTTGAAAGGATTTGACCCTCTTCTGAACCTTGTGCTGGATGGTACCATTGAGTATATGCGAGGTAAGTAATACGCAGTCTTTGGAAAGCTTCACCTCCTTGGGTGGTTTTCTTGACAGAAATCTTACGGCTCTGTGAGTGCAGATTAATGTCACCCAAACTGCAGCATGCTTGGGATAACTATCTTGTAAAGAAAGAGATAAGGTGACAGGTCTATGGGACGTGACAACATACACCCAAGGTTCCTGAGGGAATTGGCCGATATAGTTCCCAAGCTGCTTTAAAACATCTAAGATGTGATGGCAGGTAGGTGATGGGAAAGAGCGAAACGTTGAACCCATTTTTCAAAAGGGTAGAAAGGAGCCTGGGAACTACTGTCCTGTCAGCTTCACCTCTTGTGCCTGGGAAGATCATGGAACAGATCCTTCTTGGAGCTCTGCTAAGGCATTTGGAAGACAGGGAAGTGGTTTGAGATATCCACTGTGGATTTACTAAGGGAAAATGTAGATTTATTGAGGGAAAATGCTGTCTGACCAACCCAGCGGCCTTCTGCGATAGAGTGACTCTGTCAGTGGACAAGGGAAGGCCTTACAGATGTCTTTTATCTGTACTTCAGTAAAGCCTTTGACACAGTCCTGCACAAAATCCTTCTCCCTAAATTGAAGAGAGATGGATTTGATGAATGGACTGTTTGGTGATTGTGGAACTGGTTGGATGGTCATATCCAGAGGGTAGTAGTCAATGGCTTATTGTCCTCATGAACATCAATGACAAGGAGTGTCCCTCAGGGATCTCTGTGGGGACTGTTTAGTGTCCATCAGTAACACAGACAGTGGGATCAAGTTTACCTTCATTCTGCAAGTGACACACCTGAAGGATGAGGCCATCCAGGGGACACTGGACAAGTTTTTGAAGAGGGTTCACAGGAACTTCATGAGTTTCAGCAAGACCCAGGTACAAGGTCCTGCTTCTGGTTTGGGACAATCCCTGGTATCAGTCCAGGCTGGGGGATGAACAGATTGAGAGCAGCCCTGCTGAGGGGGCCTTGGACATGCTGGTGGATGACAGGCAGGATCATATATGCTTGCAGTTTACAAAGCCCAGTATCCTGGGCTGCATCCCTACAGGATGGGGGGATTCATCCCCAGGGAGGGGGTTCTGCTTCTCTGCCTCGCTCAGGTGAGACCCCACCACCCCTGGAGAGCAGTATCAGGAGGATGTGCAGCTGCTGCAATGAGTTCCCAGGAGGCCACAGAGATGCTCCAAGGGCTGGGACTGCTATGCTCTCAAGCCAGGCTGGAAGAGCTGAGGATGTTTCACCTGGAGAAGAGAAAGTTCTGGGGAGATTTTTTTTTTGTGCCTTTCACTACTTTAATGGGATATAAAAGGAAATGACAGGGGGTGAATGCTTCAGCAGGCCCTATTGTGACAGGGCAAGTGGTAGTGGGTTTAAACGAAAGTAGAGGTGATTTAGATTTAAGGAAGACGGGTTTTTTTTATAATGAGGCTGATAAAAACATTGGGACAAGCTCAGAGAGAGGTCATAGGTACCCCATCCTTGGGAGCATTAAAAGATGGGCTCTGAGCAACTGGGTCTGGTTAAAGATGTCCCTGCTCGTTGTAAGAGGGACTGTATTAGATGACCTCTAAAGATGATTCTACAGCAGAAGTTAGGTTAAGCACATTCCTTGTGATAGAACATCCCTGGTAGTCCTTGCTTGAGCTCCTCTGTAGTTGTCTCATTGGCCGCCCTTGTCCTCTAAAGCTTGAATAAAGTAGTGTCTCTTTCTCCTCTCTGATCCTATCATTTGATAGGACAGTGTTTTTGAAGAGTATTCTCCTACCTGCTTAAAAGGGAACACCTGAAGCTTTGAATTTAAACGGGAGTTTTAAAATGTGGTGTCAATTTCTATTAATATAGAGATGTCTCATGGAAAATAGAACTGGTTGATTTGTGTTTGTCCCAGTCCAGCCCTGTTTGACCTGGTCTGGGAATGGACTGGTGCTCTCTTTCCTAGTGCATTGAGAAGTCTGGGTCTTTTTCTGTTTTGCATTAATCCCCAAGTGTTTGTCTATAGTGACATTTGAAATGGGATCAAAAGCTTTTTTAAATCACTTCCATCTATACTATTGGTTAGATGAATGAAAGGGCCTTTGAATTCTTTAATAAATATGTTCTGCTTTTTGTTGCATACAAAGCAAATTTCTTTACTGCTCACTGTCAGTAAGGTCTCGAAAACATCAGATGGCACTGCTGCATCACCTGTGTAGTACATGTGTTCAATAACACAAAGCAGTTATGCCAGGAAAGAACATGCACGTCTATACCTTTTGAAGTCGACGGAATTTGGTTGCTTTCTCTTATTTTCCTGTTCTAACCATGGATCTCTGCTTTTTAGATCCAGATGATCAATTTAAATTAACAGAAGACACACGTCAGCTGGGACTTGTGGTTTGCAGAGGGACTTCTGTCGTTCTGATTTGTCCACAGGACGGAATGGAAGCTATTCCAAACCCTTTCATTCAGCAGCAAGATGGCTAATGCTTCCTTTGGATTGTCTCTGAAAACTTCAGAAGTGCAAGTCATTGGAGAAAATTATCAGTGTGTGAGAAGCTTCCTGTTTTGGGGAGGTAGTTTGAATGTGTATTTGTTAGTGTGAAAAAAGTCAACTTTTGTTTTTGTGGCTTTCATAGATATGAGAGGATGGGGAATGTAAGAAGTATGTTCTTGTTTTCTTCCCACCTCCAAATAAGTGGGTAACTATATTGTTTAGAGCTGACGGAAGAGAACATATTGTCATTAATTGACCTTCTTGATCTTGTGAGTTTTGAAACAACGCCATAAAATTAGTTAAGAATGCCCTGAATATTGGTTATATTATTTCCATTTTTAAATACATTAAAATGTATTTAATCCAAATTAAAAGCCTAAATACAGTAGAACGTGTTTTTCTTCCTCTTAGATATCAGTACTCAGCTGGGGAAGCATTATGTGTAGACTTCTGTTGAGTTCAGTCTCTTTTGTGCAGGAATATTACTTCCTCATGTAGTGTCATCACCTTTACAAGGGATGTAGCCAAGGTGGTCTTTTTCAGCACGTGTTCCAGAACTGGTGGGCTGTGATCTGTGCATCAGCAGGCTCACACATTTCTACAGGATTTCTTGGAATTTTTTAGGGGAAGAATATTTAATGCCCTAACGTTTGTTCAATTGTAGGCGGTGTCTGGAAGCACTGCTTTTTTTTATATTGTAGCTGTCCACATGTGGTTTTGCTTGTTATAACTTGATTTGTAAGTAAACATTTTTCTTTTATACTGCAGAAAATTCAAGATTTGAGGAGTTTTGAGTGAATAAAGACAAATTAATCTGTTTGTAAATGTCTGGTTTTTAGTCTGTAAAAGTGTACTGCAGCTGATAGTACAGTTCTCCAGTCATAAATCTAAATTAAATTAGTTTAGAAGGTGCATAAACACTGTAGGATCAGGAGGGACCAGAGCAGAAGCCATGCTTCAAACGGAATTGATGGGAAAGACCTGAGAGTATCTCATCCCTCTTCTAAGGCGTTTTAAAGACTGCTTCTGCCACCTGCTCTTGCCTTTATGGAGGACCCTTTATGAGGAGACTGTGGCAGAGTGAATTGTTTTGCTGGCATCAGCAGTTTTGTTTCTGAAGGTTGTCAAGAACACATGGCAAGTACAGGTTGGATTGCTTGTTTTGGCCACATTGTTCTCCCACGCATACCCTTTCCTGGGTCAGCTCCAAAATGGGTCGGAACTTAGAGTAAATTCCATTTCAGTGAATCTGACTTCCAGGAGACTCTGAAACTGGGGACCAGATGTCTTGTGTAATGTGTTGCCTGTGTCAACTTAGGTGTATCTGGATTTTAATCTCTGGGCTCACATAGCTGTCTATATAAAGTTGTGTTGCTCACAACCTAGTTTCTTCTTAGTGCTACAAAACTTGCTGGTGAAACTGCACAATTCTAAAGAGAATGCTTATTTAGAGTGAGAGGAGTAGAATTTCTTGCCATCAGCCTGAGCAGAGTCTTTAACTGTCCTTTAGGTGGGAGAAAGATTGCTGCTTTGATGCCAAAAACATGCTGCACTATCTTTGCTCTCTAAGTAGAGCATCAAAAACAGACCTGCTGGGGCTCTCTGGGGTGGATTCTGGGCTCTCAGTGCTGGGAGATCTGCCTGAAGCCATTGGTCAAGTGTGTAAAGTGGAGAGGGACCTGTTCCCAACATTTCTTGCTCAGGTGGTTGGTTGCTTGGTCATCGTTGTGAGCTGCATGGCTCTCCTTTTCTGCAGCACAGACTTTGAGGTTATACTTGGGAGTCAAGTACCTGAAAAGAAGAATATGAAAATGATGGGGTGCAGACATTTTAGCGGGCTCTGTTGTGACAGGGCAAGGGGTAATGGTTTAAGCTAAAAGAGGAGTAATCCAAACTAGAAATAAGAAAGCTTTTATGATGAGCATGGAGAGGCACTGACACAGCCTCTGTTTGCTGAGCTCTGCCAAGAACTGGGAGTGAGTCTTGCTGGTATGGGCTCTTTGGGTAAGGGTCTCTACTTCAAGGTCACTATGCAAATCTTCACATTACAGGTTTGGAAAAATTCACTGTGACATTAGCTGTTGCTTGTCCTACATCTGTATTTATTTAGTGCATTCAGATTGAGGATGACTGAACATGGGAAGCCATCTGGGTTTGAATGGGGGCTTACTCCTTTTCTCTCTTACTAAAGTATAGATACATAATAAAAACTGTAATCACTTTGGTATTTGATTAAACTTGAACTAATGAAAGATGAGGTAATGGTTGCTTTTTTCCAAATGGCTTCAAGGATTCTACAACTTCTTGATATTTACTTAGTGCTTAGGAATCTTGGTTGTTTCTCCTGGTTTTTCTTTTTAGCCCAGGCTCTTTGCTTGGCTAACAGCTCCCCTTATTTATTGTAGCCCCTTATCTGGTAAAAGTAGATGCCAGTCAAATCTACTTTTTTTTTTTTTTTTTTTTTTTTTTGTTATGCAGCTGTTCTGATATTGCTGTTCAGAAAGCAGCAGAAAAGACAGAAGAGCAAAGCAGGAGAGTAGAAAACATTCTATTTTTAGGACAAGATTGGCTTATCTCATATTTATCCTAGCTAGGGGGATAATGTTTCCAGGGATCTCACATGGGTAAGGGCTGCATAAGACTGAGTTAAAATTAACAGCCTGGCATTCTACAAGAATGGAGCCTGCACAGGAGCCACAGGAGTTGGGACCTCAGACAGAAATGATTGCAGACACAATTCTTGAGGTTGGAGAGAGACTCTTCCAGGTCAGCCGTAGGGTGCTTTCAGGACACAGTCGATATTTCGAAGCCATGTTTTTTGGAGGAGCAAGAGAGAGCTCTGAACAGCACATAGTGATCAAAGGGATCGATGCAGTGCCTTTTCAGGCACTACTTGAGTTCACTCGCACAGCCCAAGTGCTCATAGGTCAAGAAAATGTGATCAGCTTACTGGAAACAGCTGATTTTTTTCAGTTTGACAGGGTGAAACTGTTGTGTGAGAAATTTCTGGAGAGAGAACTGCATGTTTCCAACTGCCTGGGCCTGATGACCTACTCACAGCAATTTGCCTTTACAGAGTTGTATGTGTCTGCTATGAATGTGGCTCTTACTCACTGGGGGGATGTGATGCACCAGGAAGAATTTAAGGCATTACCCAAGGAAATGCTGATGCAGCTCCTGAAAAGTGATGACCTCTTCATTTCAAGAGAGGATGTGATTTTTGACAGTATTATAATTTGGATAATGGAGGATCCAACGACAAGAGAGGAAGAATTTCTGGATTTGGTGGGCGAAGTCAGGGTCACTTTTCTGAGTTTGTCCTTCCTTGATACCTTGGTGAAACGCAGTAAGTGTGCTGGAGAGACAGATACCTTTTCCAGACTAATAAAGAAGTTAGACAGCTGTCCCCCACCCAGCTGGCAAAATCCAGAACTGTGTTCTTACGCTGGTCGGAGCTATGACACCTTATATGTCCTGGGAGGAAAACATGACAAGGAACAGCAAGAATTATATCTCTTTCAACCTAAAAAAGGGACCTGGCAGGCTTGTTCTCCACTGCAGCGCAGGAATCTCACCCAGTATGCGGTGGCAGCAGTAGGTAACTTACAGAGAAGGGAGGCTGAGCAAATGCAAACAGAAGTTGAGACTGAGAGTCCCAAATGCAGGGAGTCCAGCTGTTGCTGTAAAACAGTTGTGCTCAGCATTGCTAAAACCTTATTCATACTGGAGTTCATATTTTTCAAAGAATGGTTTTGTTTTCCTTAGTCCTGGGAGAATGCTAGGTAACACTATTCTCATATAGCAGAAACTATACAGTCTGCCAAGCTCCTTACCTTGGCTTTATCTGGAATTAGTCTAAGGACTTGGCTTTAAGCAGTGTGTTCTTTGGCCTTCTCTTTTGTAGTGGTTTAGACAGAAGACAGGCAATTTATGATTTATAGTTGCCATTACATTAAACTTACCCATAGATGTTGGGAAATCTTAATGTTTGGAGACTTTCAAGCCAGCTCAATACTATGGCTTCCTGTAGTAGTGTTGGTAATAGTTCCATTTCTGGTAGGAGTTTGGAAGTGAGATCCCTGAGGTTCTTTCCAACCAGTGTTTCCATGATTCAGTTCAAAAATGGGAGCAGGCTTGGGAAAACTGGCTGCATACTATAGGCCGAATCTATCTCTGTGGATGAGGAATTAAATACTGTAAACTGATTGACAGAGCATTGATTTTCTCTCCTCATCTTGCACCTTATCAGTACAGCTCAGGGTGAAATGAGAACCCCAGCTACCAGGAGCAATTTTTAGCCTTAATGTGACTTATATTTTCTTTGCTGTCTTTACAGGTAGCTTCCTTTTTGTGACAGGAGGATATTTCCGGGATGAGTTTGTGTGGTACAGTGTGGATTGGGTGCTTATCTACAACTGCTTGGACAATTGCTGGCTGGAAGGGCCAGCCATGAAGAAGTCCCGCAATAGCCACTGTGCAGTAGGAGTGGGACTCTACCTGTATGTTCTTGGAGGGAGCACAGATGAAGGGATAATCCCAGCAGTCGAGCGAATGGCTCTGATGGAGTCAGAGTGGGAAAGCATGAGTCCTATGGCTCAGCCTGTGGAGAGAGGCGACGCGGTCAGTGTGGGAACCACGATCTATGTGGTCTGTGGCCTGGATGAGAATGGACATGTATATGATGGAGTGCAAAGGCTGAACACAGAGACAGACAACTGGGATGTCATCTCATTCTCCCCTCTTCCAAGGTAATGTTGGGGGCTAGGTTTCTTTTCTTTTGCTCCTTCTTACTGTCTTGGTTTGAAAGACAGATGTCTGCTAGGGAAGGTAGGAGCCTCTCTTGAAATGGAAAATGTAACCTCCCTTCCTCCAAATTATTATAATTTTGAAATTAAGGAGCTCTCAGGCAAAGATACAGGAATAAGAATAACAGTTCTTTACTAGGAAAATTAAAAAATAAAAATACAGTAATATAAAAAATACCAAAGCACTGACAGAGTCAGAATCCAACCTGACACCCCGTCAGTCAGTCAGGGTGTTGCATCCTTGTGCAGTGACAGATGTGGTTCTGCTGGAGCAGTGCTCCTGGAGAAGGTGCAGTTTTCCTCCTTAGGTCCAGTGATGATATAGAAGGGTCTGGTTTACCTCCGGGATCCAATGGGAAAAGGCTGCTCTGATGTTCCAAATCTCAGGTTTTATCTGGGTAGGAAATGCTTGGCTCCTCCTCCTGGCTGGAGCATCTCCCAGTGGGATGCTGTAATTTTATCAGTCATGCACTGGGACTCAATGGCCCATTGACAGGGATATTTTCCTGGACAGAGGATGGGTTGTGGAAAAGATAAAGAACACTGCCCCCTTGGTTTTAACAGATGATCCATTAACAGAAGATATCCCTGCTGGGGATAAAGAGCACTGCCCCACCTGGTTTCAACAGATGGTGATAGAATACATACTTTTGGTTACATCTTGCATTGCAAGCCAAGACACTTTAACCCATAGAATTTTTCCCATAAGTTGCTGGGAAACACTGACTGCTTGTACTTATGGGTACTTGAGAAAACAAAGGGTTGGCTGGGCCCAGGTAAAAGGAGGTCAGGGAGCAGCTGCTGGCTCTCGCTCTGTGGCTTCATAGGAGGAGGATGCTTGGAGCTGCTGTGGCTTGGGGAATTTGCCATAACCTAGCCCGGAGTTTATTCTTCTGCTTCTGTGGGGTGAGTCTCTGCTCCTTGAGAGCAGCCATTGGCCTGGCACCTTATTAACACCTACCTCAGTAAAAGAAGGCCCTATCCCCATCTGCTCGTGTTTCCAGGAATCCTGAGCCCCCATCCCTGCCCTGCCCCAGCCCCGCTGCTCCTGTGCTCTGCTCTGGGTTCTGTGCGCTGCAGCCTGCACCCCCTGCCCTGCCGGGACATCCCACAGTCCCAACTACTGCCATGGTGTTCCCTGATACATCTCCTCCACCAGCTTGAGATATTTTGCTTATTCCCACCCTCCAGCCTAGTGCATTTCAGAGTCCTGCAGGGGCACTGGGATTGACTGCCCCAAAGCCTCTCCTCCTTCCCATCACGGGGTCCCTGGTTTTGTTTGTTATTAATTCCATAGTTGTTATTGTCTTCTTTGCCTTGCTATACATACTAGTAAAGAACTATTATTCCTATCCTCATATCTTTGCCTGAGAGCCCCTTAATTTCAAAATTATAGTAATTGGGAGGGAGAGAGTTTATATTCTCCAATTCAAGGGAAGGTCCTGCCTTCCCTAGAAGACATCTGTCTTTTCAAACGAAGACAGGTAAGAAATAATATTCTGGGACCTGGCAGAAGATGAAGGATTCTAATGTTGGTCCTGCTCCAAGAAGAGGTTAGGCTGTAGAAGTCCTGTCCCCACAACACTTCTGTGATTGTCTGTTTAAACAGGACTTGTGATTTGAGCACCAAGGCCATCCTGAATATTTCAGGGGCCAAATCTTTCTTTTGAGATTCTGATCAAGGGTTTCTTCTCTCTCAGGTATGACCTCTGCATCACATCCCTGAATGGGGCTCTGTACACTGTAGGAGGGGGAGCTTTTCGATTTGATGTGGAGACAGATGAATGGACCCAGGTGAATGAGGAATGCTTGACCCAGAAGTTCTTCATGGGATGCAGCACTGTGAATGGACAAATTTATCTCCTTGGACAGAGGAAGGGAAACAGTGCTCTCCCTACTGTAGTCCTCTTTGATCCCTACATTGATGTGTGCCAGGTCATAGATAACAAACTCCTTTGCCCTCTTCCCATTCATGGCTGTGTCTCTGTGCGAAGATTTGATACGTGGGCATAAGAGTGGAAGATCATGTGCTTTACAGCTTAAGGGAGTTAGATTGCATCAGCTTTGGCCTGTGACATTTTAAAATTTTTGTTCCTTTGTAAATTTTACCTTTTTGATTCTACTTGACAAATGAACTTGTAGCAAAATCCAGTGAAAAATTTGACTACACAAAGGCTGCAGTCTATTGAAAATGGTGATTGGTTTTATTATGGTACATAAACTTCTTAGAGTTGATGCTCAAAAAAGGTTGGTGCTGTTCTGACCTTTAATCTCTGTGCCTCTCTGTCCTTTGAGTAGCTGGAAAATCACTGCCTCAGTGTTAGAAAATATCATAAGATTTAAATAATAAATGTGTGTCAAGGGAATCTTCAGCAGGATTATAACATCCAACCCCTAAACTATCCGGTTAAAATGATAGTGTTGTAATGCTCCTATTTTCCAATTTTAAAAATGAAATCTCAACAAAATTAATGCATCCATATAGAAAGCTTCCATTTATTATGTATAATTTCTGGTGGAAAAGTGTGCATTTGGAAGAATTTAGTTCCTTTCAATTTTAGGAAACTTCTCCCTGAGTAGACATTCAGTAAGGAAGATCTTTTAGACATTAGAGCTATTTTGTATAATTCATACAGCAAATACAGCTTGTATCATTTGGCCAGGCCTTAGTTGCAGAAATTATTTATTGTAGAGCCTGACCATTTTATACTTCCTAGGTGAAAACTTATTTGCCATTTAAGCTAGTGCCTTTCACATGCAAGTCCTTCATGGGATGGCTGGCAATGACTGCCACTGTCTTTTGAAATTGCAAACTGGTTAAATCTTCCCCAGTTTTAGTTTATTATCTCATGAACCTTTTGGGAAGGCTTTGAGTTAATCACACATAGGAGTCATAACTTCATCAGTTTGTTCAACCCCTCTTCTCTTTATACAGTGGGACTTTGGCTGGTATACCCCTTTTTTCCTGGATGAATGATTATAGAGTAGTAGTAAAAGAATAATCCCAGCAGAGTAATTACAGAAAACAAGTCCTGGAGTGACTAATTGCCTAATTGATGTGGTGAGATTCACCTTGGCCTCAGGCACACTGCAGTGAAGCCCTGCTCAGCCCTCCTGCATTCCAAAGACCACCTGGATCCTGTTTTTGCAGCAAGCCCTGTGTTGTTTTTTTTTCTTTGCCAGATCCTCTCCTTTGCTCCTGTCACTCTCTTCGGGGTCATTTCTGGCATCCTGTCTTTTCTGAAGGAAATGAAGTTTAAATTGTATTTGCAAGGACTAGTCCTATTTTCATTCACAGCCCTAGGGGCTTAACCTGGCAGCTAAAATAAAAATAAGAGGTGTGATCGTGTCCTTAAAGCCAGTGCTGCAGTTGTCCCTGCATTGGGAGATTGGCTTAAGCTGACAGGTGTTAACTCTATTATGGTTTCACCGAATTTTTCTAACCCTCATAATGCTCTTGTAATGTGACTTCTTGAAAATTAATATCTGAATTGAATAATTGAATAATTGAAATTAATATTTATTCTACATATAGTTGTTTGGCATATTTTCCTATGCAATTTATTACTGTGAAATAAAGTAATTTGAAGTTGTGAAAGGCAACACAGATTTGTCCCGCCAGCATATGGACTGGGCTCCTTATTTTGCTGTTGTCTACAACCTCTATGAGCTATCTGTCTTAGGTTACAATGTAAGATGTAACCAAAATATGTATTCCATCACCGTCTTCATAAGCTGTTAAAAGCAGGCGGGGCAGTGTTCTTTACCTCTTCCATGACTCATCCCTGATAACTCCCTCTTGGGGATATCTTCTGTTAATGGGCCATTGAGTGCCACTGCATCACTGATAAAATTACATCATCCCATTGTGAAATACCCCACCCAGGGGGAGGAACCAAGCATTCCTACCTGGATATAATGTGAGATTTGGAACACCACTAGGAGCTTTACCTACTGGATTCCAAGAGAAGAACTACATAACGTCCATGGACTTCAGAGGAAGAGCAGACCTTTCTACAGGATCACTGCTTCAAAAGAACTACATCTATCCCCTCGAGGACTGCAGCCACCATTTTATTGGACTGCTACCACCGCCCTGACCAACAGGGTCTCAGGTTGTATCCTGACTGTCACTTTAAGCTAGTGTTTTCTGTCTTTATTTTAATTTTCCTATTAAATTGTAGTTCTGACTTAGAAGCTCCCACTGGTTTGTTTTCAAACTACCAAAACCTCCATAATTCCTTAGAAAAGCTGTTTTTTCTTGTAATTTAGCTTTGATGAAGGGGTAACTCAAGAAAGTTGAAGGCATAGAACCAGCATAATGGAGAAGTTTTTTCTGGATATGGGTCCTCAAAGCTTTCACAAATCTTGTCAGATGCTCCCACAGTGCCATCTCCCTCCCTACACTAGCAAGGCAGGCTAGGGAGTTGCCCAGTGATCTCTATACAAATTCTGGCATGCATCAAGAGCCTGTGGATGGCACCCAAAACTCAGAGATGCAAATACACAGTGTGCTATCTACCCGGCTTACCTGGCTGCTCCTTCCTAACTCCACTTTGGACATACCAACAGGTTCCAGTTCTCTGAAACTACATACTGAGAAGCCATTAGGCAGTGAGGAAAAGGTCTGTGGGTGGCTCCCATGTCACTAGAACATAGCTGCAAGCTAGAAGTGAGCTCCTGCTCTGATCTTAGTGAGATAAGGTATCCATACAACTCCTAACAAACGCCTCAAGGAGCTCTTAGGCTGTTTGTGGGGCAGTCCCATTTCTCTCCTTTCCTGCAGGCAGCTAGGAGTCGCCCTGAACCTCATGCTCTCTCATGGATGGGGGTGGCACAAAGGAGACAAAGACTTTTCATACCTCACCATAGAGAATAACATTGAAGATCATTTGGATGATCACACAGGACCAAAAAATGTGTAACAACTGCAGGATCATCAGGAAACCATTTATGAGACAGATTACAGGAAACAAGAAAACTTTTGTCACAAAGTAATAATATATACTGTGGGAAAGAGAGGGAGAGACAAATCAGAAGACTCAAAAACTAAAGCAGGCTAAGTATCTTCAGACTTACAAGGACTGGGTGTTTTTCTGCGCAATGACTGGGCTGACATGTTCCCAGGGCAGAGCTGAGCTGAGCCAGGATGGCACCACCAGGCTTCACCCTGTTCCCAGTTCTCGCAAAGCAAGTCCCAGGGACTCGTAGAAGCTCTGTATTAAAATCACCAACAATGCAACAGGCTTTGCAGCCAGGTCAGTTATCAGAAACCTGCAATGTTACCTTAGAAGAGGAAGGAACTGGCAACATTTCTCCTAAAATAAATCTTGAGAGGAAAAATGGGACAAAAGAGACACCATAAGGGGACCTCTCCAGTGCCACTTAAATAAAAAGAAAATACATGGCTATTTAAACTGAAGTTATGGAAGAATTAATTGTGCAGATGATCAGCTAGGCACGGCATTATTTTTAGCAAAAGCCACAGAAAGTCTGTATCCTCAGTGATGAAAACAGAAAGGGGGACAGCACTGGTTTGGAAATGGAAAGCAGACAGGACAGACAGCAGTTCAGCACAGGAGAGAAATGATGAGTTGCTGGTATGTGTCTTCATCCACAAGTAACCTGTGACATGAATATATTGTATGCTGGGAAACCTTGTTGGCCACAGCATGTACTTGATCTGCACTTGTTTTCCTAGAGCTATGCTGGTTGCTGTTGGTGCTGAGATGTGCTGATCTCAATGGACCCTTAGTCTGATCCAGGACACCTGTTACTTTCTTTGTCCTTACATTATGGTACAGTAGGTTGGGATACTGGGGCTTCACACTTTGCAGTGGAGACAACTGAAGTTGTGCTTCTTCTCAGGAAAGTTGCCTCAAGCTTTTATTGCTTTTCTTTCTAAGGCAGACATATGACCACCAGAATCTGGGACTTGTCATGCAAAGTCAGTCTCATAGGCATCCAGACTAAATGGCAGCACCACCAAAGTTCAAAACTCAGCATCTTCAGTGGTGGTATGCAGCAAGGTCAGGGACATAGGACAGCATCACAGACTTATCCCTTTGTGTGTGTATAGCATGTCCTAGTTTTTTAATTCTTCTTGGTGTAACAAATGAAATGTTTGGTTTGAAAGAAAACGGAAAGATTAGACTATAATGCTAATATTGTGGAATGAGTTTATGGGAAGTTAGTCACTACCAGCTTTTCTAGGCAACCTGGCAATGGTAAAGAAAAAAGAACAACTTCAGCCTAGCTGAAGGCTGGAAGGGTTTCTAGATGTGTGTATGCAATAGCCATTTTCCAAGGCTGGTACCTATGTGTGACTTCTTGAGGAATCATTGCCGACGCCCTCCCAGCATATTGAGTATCCCACCTCCTGAATCCCTCATGGTTTTCTTGTTTTATTTCAGACACGTGGTGGGTTGTCAGGAAAATTAATCCACAAACACCAGAGGTTTATGTCCAAAAAGGAGGCAGAGGAGTCCTTTTTGCTTTATTCGAATAAAGGGAGAGGCCATGGGACATTCCCCTGGGATCTCTCAAATTTTCGGAGGACGCAGCCTCCTTTTTATCCTATTTTCCCGGCCGCATTTCCCTCTCTCTTTCCCCATTGGCTTAGGTACTTGAGAGGCACAGACTTCCCGGAACGCCTGATACCTGAAATTCCCCTCTAATGTATAACCTTCCCTTTTAATTTTTAATTCTTATAGAATTCATAGTTTTCCCCCCGTTGCTTCTTTCATCTTTCGATATCCAATTTCATTTATCAGCAGCCCTACAGTTTGTTTGTAAAGGCAAATATCTCTTTCCATTCATCAATCAGTGGAATCCATCCCATTGTTTCTTTTATCTCTCAGTGCTAGCCTTATCTACAGGCTGATCCACAACTCATTTGTAAAGACAAATTCAACATTCCTCTCATGGGTCATTTTAAATTTACTGTGCTCTTTTTTTCTATACTAATTGCGTCTTAATAGACCTTTGAGTTTTAAGGCCTTTTTTAGTCTGCTAAGAATTTCTTGGGAAATTCTAACCAG